TACTCAAACATGGGTATAATAATGTTTCAAGTAATAGTAAATGATGCTGAATAAAAAAATCCATTGATTCCTTTGAAATTACTTACCTCTAGCCTTGGTTGGCAACCAGGATGAGAGAAGAAAAATACTGAACTGAAATCAGCCAAAGAGATATGCCAAAGCCCAGATGAGCTTCTTATAGGAATCAATGGTCAGCATGCAGCTAAGAGATGGAAAACTCCTATTAAAAAAGCCTGTGAATGTAGCATCATCTGACATGTGGCATATAGGTCACACAGTGCAGGACATAGTGCTATGATGGAGAGAATGTGCATTGCAGGGCACAGGCAATCATCAGGCCAGGCGATTATGTTTAGCATGAAACAGACTGTTGCCTCTGGGTATTGACTTCAATGTCCACTTTTATATTTATATATGTTCTATCCCTGATATTGAGCACTTTGCCCCATAAATATATATATATATATACTCCTAATAGTCTTAAATATAGGTGTAACTTATGCTTACAAGAAAAAATTAGCATAATAAAATACAATAATCAAAGCAAAGTATTGAATCAAAGGAATGAATTAGTTTTAAAATGTCAACATAAAAATTAATTCAAATTTACATAATATAGATTTTACTTTATTAGATACTATATTTCTCTAACTCTTCAAATGTTGAATGTATAACTAATTTTAATTTCTATATTTTGATTTGTACACCATATTATTGTCCCCCTGTTCTAAGAACTCTTTCCTTTTATCGCTTACACCTCTTTATCTATATAATTTTTTAAATATAACTTTGTATTTTCATGTTTCTTAAATATAACTTGTTTTTCAACTTAACTTTAAGGTTAAAATTTTTTTTCTAATGTAGAATTTATTTTTTCTTATAATATTTATTCTTTAATATAACAAAGTTTGTATATTTTTATTAATTATAATTTATAATTTTTAATTTATTAAATATATCCTATATTTAAGTATAACTTATCTTTGGAAGAGTATTTTTAAGTAATTTGAATTTTTAAACTTAACCTTATCTATAATTTTATTTTTAAATAAAACCCCTTCTTGTTCCTCTCTTAGTTTCAAATTAACACTTCATTCTTCATATAACACAAATTTAATGTCATAAGGTTAATATCTGCGTTTAATTAAGGGTTTCTTTAAGGCTAATACCCTCCACCCTCCCCTGACCACTGTCTCATGCCTTTCATTTGACTGAAACACTGAAATGGATAAATTCTGTAATAATTTTTCAACAGCTGTCACAGTTAAATTACTAATTCTAACAAAACATAGTCTATATACCAGGGTTGAATAAGACTAACAAAGTTTTCATCAGTTGGAATAGATCTACTCCTCATATGAGGTAATTTTGGATTTTATTGTGTACTACTATTTATTTGCTCTGTATAATAAATATATTGAGCACTTTTCGTGGATCAGTTTTAATATTTTATATTACTAGGATCCACTTGGATTATATTCCAATGGATTTATTATCATTACTATATATATATATATATATATATATATTAGTTACCTCCACGGAATCGCTAAAAAAAAGAGCATAGTATGATGAAAAATATGCCAAACTTGATGAAAACTAAATTTCATTGTCTAAATGTCTATGTTATTATGAGGAGGAAAGATCAAAGTATTTTGGGGTATTTTTTTACATTTTTTAATCATTCCTAGCACATCTAAAATTTTTGTTAAAAATCTTGTTTTTTTTTTTGAGTCAGCAAAATTGACAGATGGCATCATTCCGTGAGGATAATTTGTTCTACGGATGGAGAAAAGTGAAATTATTTAGATTTAAGTGAACAAATTATTTATCTCGTTATTTTTAAGGAAAACTTTCAGTGCTCTAATTTTTTTTTTTGTACTTAGCTTTCACCTTTACGTTTACGATGCTTTATGGAAAATATATTATAAAGAAATTAAAATAAGACTTAAGAGTGAGATTAAATTTCATAAGAAAGGTATCTAATTAATTTATAGGTACCTTTCTTATGAAATTTTATCAGAAGTGTACATAAAATACTATAATTCTATGTACATTTATTACATTTTACTGTGTTATTTGTATTTCTATTCATTTTATTATTAATTTTGATATTTCATTTATGGAAAAAATGTCATAACTGAGATTAATATAAAAAAAATATAAATTTCATAAGATGATACTGATACTTGTAGGTACCCTTCTCAGTTGAAATTGAAAAATCAAATTAACTTCTCCACATGTGTTCTGGAAAATTAAAGGCCTTAAAAGTGGAGAACAATGCTTAACTCAAATAAAGCAACTTAATTGTATTCTGGTTGGTCTTCTGTACTTTATAAGTACAGCCCGATTATAAACACAAAATTACATAAGGACACTTATGAAAGCCGATTTGGCTTTTAACTAATTTTATAATATTTTAACAACTTAAATGTAAAAATCTATTATAATTAAAGAAATAACAAATAATTGTGTTAAAAATTAATTTTTCATTGAAAAATTTTTTTGTTTTCAGAAAATATTGTCCATATTCATAAAAGCAAATAAAAGCATTTGAAATTAAATATCTTTGTTTTATTGAGTTTTGTATGTTACAATTCAGATCTGATTTTCAGGTAGGGGGGTCCAATTAAAAACAAAAAAAGACATGATTTGCATTCCTCAAAGCCTTGTGCTTTTAACTATTGTAATCATTAAACTAAACTTGATCAAATTTCTAGCATTTTCATAAAATTAGTTATGGGGGAGTAATAAATATAAAAAAAATATTTCTGCCATGACTTTAAAAAAGTAAACTTTATAATAATTTCGATCATCTGTGAATAGTTTCTGAAAGTTTCATTAACATCCGACAATTATCTTTATTTTTGCAAGATTTTCCAAATTAATGTGTGTCATACAAAAAAAAAACGTGCTAAAAATTGTCTGTTATTTTACAAGTTCCAGTGATACAAAGAGAAACAAGGTTTTTTTTAATCAAAATTTAGAATGTTCTAAAAAGAAGGAAAATTTTTTTAAATAATTTAAAAAAACTTTGGTCCTTCCTCTTAATAATAACATGAATATTTAGATGATAAAATTTTGTTTTCGTCAAGTTTGATGTCTTTATCATCACACTATGCTCATTTTTTAGCGATCTCGTGGAGGTAACTATATTATATATAGCATATATATATATATATATATATATACATATATATATCATATATATGATATCTATATGATATATCATATATATGATATCTATATGATAGATATATATATATGATATCTATATGATAGATATATATATATGATATCTATATGATATATATATATATATATATATATGTAAGCAAATATATGGATATAGATCCGACAGTATGAAGAAAAATATATACGGAAAAAACAAACAAAAATCCTTGTATACAATTATGCTGTTTTAATGTTAATATGTCAACGTCTGATGTTTCGGTCTAATAAACCATCTTCAGGACATATTCATAAATTATAACATTATCAATACAACATGACAAAGATGATGTTATGTACATCGTCTTTGTCATGTTGTATTGATAATGTTTGAATATGTCCTGAAGATGGTTTATTAGATCGAAACGTCTGACGTTAACATATTAATATTAAAACAGCATAATTGTATATAAGGATTTTTGTTTGTTTTTTCCGTATATATTTATATATATATATATGTATATATATATATAACCTTCATGAAAATTTTTTGCTGATAGCTGTAGATTTTCATCCAGAATTTTGATATAGTTTGCAGATTTCATTATCCCTCTTATTGCAATTAATTGTCCAGTCCCCCTCAAGCTAAAAGAAGCCCAAAATATTATCATTTTTTCTATGCATACTGTATGAATAATTTTGGTTTTTCCTATTTTATGTAATTCGCCTGTCAAATTTGTTGTATTTAACCTATTGTTCTGAAAATTGAGTTTTATATTCTTTTTTTCATGCTTATTAACATAAGAAAAACCTGGCATCATATGGCTATTAGATTTCTGAGAAATGGATAAAAATATTAAAGATTGATGGGTTTACAAATAATTTTGTTGTTGACTTTATATATATATATATATATATATATATATTTTAAGACATTTTTATGTTAAATACATTCTTTTTATAGATACAAATATTTAAGTAAATGCTCTGTTTATAATAAACAGTATTAAACAACATTTACCGGCCTGAATGTTTATTATAAACAGAGCATTTACTTAAATATTTGTATCTATAAAAAGAATGTATAAACATAAAAATGTCTTAAAATAATTGTCGGACTTTTTCCATTTCATAATATATATATATATATATCATATTATGGACACATGAGTGAATGTTTAGAACGTTCACATTCTGACCATGAGGCCTGGGTTTGAATCTCACCATGGTCGATTTGTCAGGAAAGAGTCTTCCTGATGTTATAAGACTGGAGGGGTCGATTCCAGCATGCAGCACCTTTATAAAGTGCCTGAAAACTACACCATGGGTTAACCCAGCCTTATGAGTGAAATTGGGTTGATGGAACCCTTCGGTGCTGTCAATAGCTATGCTAGCATGAAATCACAAGTCATCATGACCGAGTCATGGGCATACTGGCCTTGTTCAAATTGTTGATCATGCTAGATAATACGCTCTTTCCCAGAAACTGTAACTAAGGTCTGCTCTGCACAGGTGGGCTCTGTGGGTGTTGAGGAAACACAAAATGTGTCTGAGCAAGCATTTGCAATAGAGATTTGCTAACCACCCTAGTAGATGGGTATCCTTGAATACAAGTGGCCAGCTATACTACTATATATATATATATATATATATATAAGCTTATAAATATCATTTATATGAAACAATCACATGTTATCAGAAGCATTATCTAATTAACAAGATACATTTAATTCAATTCATTTTAAGGTAAGTAGAGGAAATGAAGTCTCGACTGATCTTTTACTTAGATTTGAAAATGTAGGTGGAGTTCCAAAGAAATTGATACTCACGAGTTTTAGCTTCAGAATCCCAAAAGAATGATTTGGGCTCATCAGGCGAAAGGATGTCTGGACTAAGGAGTGTTGAACTTTCAGTTGAAAGTTGGTGCTGCAGCTGCTTGATGTAATCTGAAATAGAAATTATTAAAAAACATTTACGGTCATTATACTTAGCACAGCTGTTGCTAATAATATAAACATATGTATCCTTATTATTTGAACAAGAGGATGCTTTTACCAGAGGTAACAGGTATTTTGAGTATCAGGTGATAGCAAGTCTCCTCAAATTTTTAATGCCTTTCTCAACACTCACTGATTGTTTTAGAACTTTTTTGGATCTCCAATTCCCTACAAGCTCACCTGAAGCTTCTTTGTGACGGTTCTCAAAGTATTAATAACTATGGGTATAAGTTTCATCCTCATATTCATCCTCAGTTCTCAAGCAAGGTTTTGGTAAATTTCTACTCTTTTGTTTTTATTATTATTATTATTATTATTGCTTTTGAATATTGCTGCCACATCTAGTCTGGTGCTCCTGCTATATATTCTCAACAAAATCCAAACGGTCTGCAATGTTATCAGTCCTAACCTGGCATCTTGATTTCAGTCACTTTTTCACCACCATGATGTTGCTTCCCTTTTCTATAAATATTTTCATATCAGTTCAAATGAGCTTTCCTCCTTGGTACCTCAACTGCATGAAAGGGTAAAACTAGACTGGCAATTAGGTCCCATCATTTTACTGTTGAATTAGTTTGATATGACCATAAGTTCTATTCTAATAATTTATTTTCTTGCCTGTGGAACACTCTTCCAGTTTCTTGATCCCCTGCTACTTACAACAGTCAAAATTTTAAATGCAATGTCAATCACTATCTTCTGTCTTCCTGAAACCTGTTCTTTTTATTGTCTTTTCTCCTTTGAAGTCTTCTAATTCTCTTTCACTCTTAGTAACCCTTTGTATCCTAGTGGCATTATTATCTTGCTTGGGGTGAAATGATGAAAAAAAAATTTTTAAATGACATCTATTTACTATCATTGTCAGTGGTTTAAAAAGTACCGCTAAACCAGTGGTTCTCAAATGGGGTCTATGTAACATTACTTGGGGGTTCACACAAAAAAATAGCAAATTGAGGGTCCACAGTAACATTTTAGTGGTCCATAGAGCAATTTCACTTCAGAACGGTTGTTACAACTGAGAATTGGAATTTCTACAAAGTAATCTACACCATATTAAAATACTAAAAATACAAAAACAACCCTAAAACTAGTAGGAAATGAGATCAAGTGATGTAAGTTTTAGCGTTTCTTTTACTCTACCAGATGTTTTGATTGTAAAAGTTGAATAAAAACTAAGAAGGATATATAAAGGAAGGATTATATAAAGATTGTTATTTAGTATATAAATTAATTTAATATATTAATAATAAATAATAATATTAATTTTAAAAATTATTAAAATAAAATATTAATATATTAAAATAAATTAATTAATATAGTAATAGACTCAACATTGTGAAGAGGAGTGATCTTCAATTATCATTGGGATCAATGGAGCAGAATATAAAAAAAAACACAGAGCTGCATCAACTACAGGGATCTCATTGAATAAATCTGCACTTTTTTAAATTTATTAATTACTCACATATTTTAAAATGGTTTATTATGAGATATTTTACTAGTGTACATAATGTTCCATAGAATTTAGTTATTAAATACAACTATATTTTCATGGGCACAGTTGAGTAATGGATAGCTGCTTGGACTGAAGAATCAGGGAGCTGAGTTCAAGTTCCAGTCAAATCCATTACATTCACTTAATACCCTTGGGAAAGGTATGAAGCCTCTTCTTCTCCCCACAGTTATGGGTAAATAGCAGGACAGGACCAGGTTCTATAATCTTGGATGGCAACTGATCTACCGCAGAAACAAATGGCAACCTACTGCGGGAAAAAATCTGCCTCATCAGTCATGTATCAAAAGAGACCTGATCGCCTAAGTGTGTATCTTGCATGGCACATAACTGATATTTTCATTAAATTAGCTTGACTTCAAAATAAAGCATATAAAATTACTATTTCTATAACACAATTCCTATTTAGTAAAATACATCTATTGGATGCTTTAGTACACATCAGTAGGGGTTTCAGGTCTTTCAACATCATACCCACTCTTCACAGTGACCCAACCGATACTAATCAAGTATTGACTTGTGTACCTTCCATCAGCTACAATTTTTTCCATCTTCCAAACTACACACCATACGACTGTTCTTGGCAATTTATTGTCCAATCCCACATGACTTCCGATTCACCAGCAATGTACACTCTTCTATAAAAAAGGAAGCAAATGCAGCCACAATTTCTAACTGATCAGGAATATGGTGGCATGCATGGCTTGAAGTGGTAAGTACCAAATTGATTCCTTTCACTGAGACATATACACACACACATACACACGCAGACACACAGAGAAATGCACTCAAGCCTCACATTCTGCTTACACATCCTATTTTCATTCATGTTAATGATTCACTGAAAAAAAATTTAAAAAAATTATTTCTTTTCCGCCTTCCCGCTTTTTTCTTTTTCTTCTAACCCTCCACCTATATGAGTTACACACACATCTAAAAAACAAATAATTATTAATAAAAAATAAAATAAGCTTTTGTTTTCATCAACTGGTTATGGGGGTCCACCAAAAAAAATTAAGACTAAAAGTGGTCTGTGGGTAAAAAAAAAGGTTGAGAACCACTGATCTAAAAAGAAAACCATGAATATATCCGAACCAGAATAAAAGAAAAGAGAAAATTCTGTTACTTACCAATTTCTCTATACAATGTTGCAGGCAAAGAAGCCTCACTCTGTCCTGCTTCATTGCATGCTCTGATTCTAAACATATAATCCTGTTCTTCTTTAAGTTCCTTGACCTCATATTTGGTGTCCTCAATTTCTGAGGCTATCGGCACCCAATTTGGAGCAGGTGGTTCACGCACTTCAATGATGTATGTTACAAAGGACCTCTTTGCATAGGATGGGGTACGGGCTGCCTTCCACGATAAAACAAGACTAGTGCCCTTCTCTTCACTGATCTTAGGACGTCCAACAGGTACTCTTGGGGGTGCTATCAATTTGCAAGAGAAAAATATTAATTTTTAAATTTTTTTTTTTTTTTAAATTTTTTTAAGAATCATTACGAATGTATATCTAAATAATTTTACTTATTTTAAGAAAAATAAACTATATGCCTCATCTTAGATTCTCTGGCATGCACCTCTCTATATGCCTCTCTTAGATTCTCTGGCATGCACCATCACTGATGTTTTTAACCAAGGTTCATGAAGGGTTTTGTGTCTTAGAAACTCATTCCCTATCTTCATATATCGACACCTGCTGTCAGCTACAAATCTTCTCATAGAGGAACATTCCTAACCCTAACCTCAGCAAAAGAACTCTATTATAGTCCAACACCCAAAATCCAAACAAAAAAATTCTCCCTTTATGTCTGTTGGGTGGAGGATGTCACCCTGGTGAGGAGGCAAACAGGTGCTAGACCTAAGCAAAAGATCACCTGTATGTAACAATGGTTTGGGGTAACTTAATTTAGTCCCCTAGTCAAGTCTCCATTGTTGAGTGTAGCTTTAGGTCATACTGAAGATGCCATATACTTAGGTAAGAATTCATGCTTTATTAAGTCAGTCAACAAGGTCTGTATTTTAATTTTATTAATTTTGCATATAAAGTGTCACACCTTCAGATCAAATTTATGAAGAACCTGTCCAATGTTCTTGTTTTTAAACAAGTACTTTTAGCCATTGAAAGTCATTACTAGGATTATTAGTGTTAACATTTACAATAAGGAACAGTTTTTTAACTTCAATCTGGTTTTTTTTTTGTGGGGTGGAGGGTATGAGCATGTGGTGCAATGGATAACGGGTGGAATAAGAAAATAAAAAGCCAACTTCCACTTCCAATTGTGTTCATTACATTCACTTATGAATAAATACTCTTGGGAAAGTTATGAATTTGTCTCTTCTTCCCCTAACTATGTTTGAAATTTATAATATCTCTTAAAACAGTTTTTTCAAGGAAATAGACTTCTCAAGTCACTGTCATTGCTCTTTATTAGTACTGATAGGAATTTTCTTCCTACCCTTTTTTTAAGGTAGTGTGGAAAGTCAACATCTTGATTATATCATCAATTTCCTGCCTCCATGTGCTACTAATGGTAACTTTATAACAGCTTGGTTGGTTGATTTTGTTTAAAAGCATATCAACACCTCTATGGGTTATTTAATACCAAAATGTAATGTAAATAATTTAAACAATTTATGACTTCAACTAAATATATTTTGAACACAATTGTATGTCTTCAATTACAGATAAAATGTATTGTGGGTCATGTTGCATTAAAAATATATTGTTGCTAATTTTACTATAAATATGTATTGTTGCTATTTTTATTTTTACTATAAAAATGAATTGCTAGTATTTTTATAGTTTCATAAAATTTTGTTTGGGGTTTCACTATTCACCGATAGCTGGGACCTTAAATGATGCTACCACCCTGGGGGTTAGGGTGGACCTGGAAACAACAATTGAGAGGTGGTCCCACACTCCTCAAGACCTCCGATCCCCCATCAAAGGCCTTGCTGCTGGATTTAGTTTATCATCATACCCAGAACTACTTTATAGCAGGCAATAACACCTATAAATTATTTTTTAGTAATCAATTTAAATATGTTCTCTGATAATTTCTTTCAATTCATTTTTTCCTGAAACTTTGTCCAAAGTTTAAAGTTCTTATCTCAGGATAATTCCTAAACATTTAAAACTTTAAAATTTATTTGAGAGAATCACAAAAAGATGGCAGGCTTACTTTGTATGGACAATGGGTCAACAAATGTTGCTGATGGCAGGAGGAGTTTATCCACCTTAGCATTTTCTTGGCCTGTCGGGGCAGGAGCTGAAAAAAGAGAAATAAAGAAAGTTTGATAAAATATTTTTCTGACAATTGTAAATGAAAAGAGTATTGATATTTTGAGTAGCAGCATTTTTGGTATTTGATTTTTATTCAAAATAAAAGGCATTATTATTTTTGTAAATAAAATTCAAGGTTCAGAAATTCTTTTTATTATTCTTTTATAGTATCTAGCTGAGAGAAAGATCAAAGTTCAATATTCAGATTCAAATCTCAGACCTTTGTGCCTGCATAAAGAGAGAGTGTTAATTTTCCCTTGAAAGTGCCATTATTTTAACTACTTTCACTCCTCAGCAATGTTTATTGCTTTAAAAAGTGATTATTAAAAACATATAAGGAAAGTGAATTTATACATAAAACCTAAAGATATGATAAAAGTGAATTTATACTTTTTTGTTCTTTAGATTTGGCAACAAAAATATTAAACACTATTTATTTAATAGATTGGTTATTTACAAGAATCATTTTATATTTACATTATAAAAGCTAACACAATTAAAACTAATGTAATGCAATACTTATCATTTACCAATTTACAAAAAAATAAATATGAAAACATTTTTTTATTCAGAAATTTATAAAAGTATGCTGGTTTCAATCCTCATAAAAAATGACTGCAAAAGACTTTCTCCTCCCAAATTTATAAACAGAAGCACACAAATGCATGCTGGGATTTTTTCCTACACAATAAAATAGCCTAGTTCATGGCTTCATCTAACTCAGTCCTGGTCTGTCTTGTCTTGAAGTTAGAATGCTACATTCACTTATTCAATCTTGCTCTTGTGTATCAACCCCAATTCTTAGTTTGTGAAATTTTTGCTTTATTACTGTTAATTTGTCTTATATTGTTTGCTTGCTTTATATTATTTTTTTCTGTTCTTTTCTTTTTCTTGTAATTTTTTAATCAAAGCTTCATCAAACCTGTTTGTTGAGCAGTTCTCCCATTCATTTATTTTACATTTAACCATGGCTACTCACTCCACAACATATTTTTTATCCATAAATTTATAAACATTTACAAAATCATTAAAATATGTGAACTACCTATAAGTAAATCGATATTTACCATTTTATAAAGTTTGAATCAACTGGCAATTAGCCAGTATTTTGCCACTAACCATCCCAATAAAAAATATTTTAAATAGTGTGACTAAACAATCTAATTAATAGTGTTTATTATTTTTGTTGTAAATTTTCAAGAACAAAAGAAATGCATAAATTCACTTTCATATGTTTAGGGTTTATTATAATTCTAATCATCTCTTTTTTTTTTTGCCATGGAGTGGAGGTAGTTAAAATAATAGTGGTGTCAAGGGAAAAACTGTCCTTTTGACACTCCCTTTGTTTTTTTGCAGGTACGAAGGTCTGAGATTGCTTAAATTTCTATCACCACTTGGAAGAAAAACGTTTGGACATATGAAAATAAACTTAAATTTCTGACAAAGACATAAAAATGTAAATATTTAAGTTAGAACATTATGTATGATGTGACATTTATACTTGTCTGCCAGAAAATTCCCAACAAAATACAAGAGGCATGAATCCATTTTAAGAACTCCTGAAGATCTCATAATGAAATTGAGTTTTTTTGATTAATTTTGGAGAAGGTACTTCTCTTTGTTATCATAAATTTCTCCTAAACGTTTTATAACATAAAGAAAGATGAATAATCATTTAATTTTCAATATTAAGAAAAAGCTGAAAATGAAATCAGTCTTCCAAATCTCATTAAAAATTAATCATTATCAAACAATAAGAGAAAACAAATCCAATTTGCAATAAGAGAGTAGTGTGTGTGAATAGCTTTATATCTAAGCTTGATAATAAGCAAAGACCTTTTCTTTGAACCATGCTTCCAAAATTGTAAATATAATGGTACATACTTTGAATGGCTCTGTGCAGTGTGGCAGTCATTGATGGCTCACTGAGACCAAATTCATTCTCTGCAAGAATACGGAAAGAATAACTTTGGTTTGGTTGCAAGTCCTTCACATGGAATCTTGTCTCAGTCAAGTTACTTCCAAGTGTACGCCACGCTCTTGCCCACTGTTCCTTCACCTCAACACTGTATGTAATTGGAGACTGTTTGCCATAGGCTGGGTTACGGGCATGGGCCCAGGTTAAAACCAAGGAATCATTTGCAATACTTGTGATATCTGGTTTGTCCAATGGAAGACGAGGAGGAACTGAAAAATATTTATAAAATAGAAAAAAAGTCATGAGGAGTTTTGTAAGCAAAGTAAGAAAAATAAAATCTATCTGCAGAAGCATATAGGAAAAATTAGAATAACAGAATTCATTATAATATAACTATATAGATACCACAATTTTTTTTTCTTCTGTTGCAAAAAAATGAAAATTTTTTTCACATTTTTTATCAAGGAGAATAAAAAAATTCAATTAGATTATATTGATTAATTTGATTTTTTATGGCTTATGACCTTTTTGCAGGTTATTATTATTTATTTATTTATTTATTTATTTTAATCATTTTACCCCAAGCAAACCAGAAATGACATGAGGATTACAGGGAATGAAAGTAAGAAAAAAAAAAAAACTGAGTATAGAGAGAACTGAGGAAAGGACAAAAAAATGTACAGAATTCAAAAAGATAGCAATTGATGTTGCATTTAAATTATTGATGATTGTTGTTATCAGTGAAGCAAGTAAACAGAAGGGAGTTCCACAGGTGGAAAGTGTGAGAAAAGAAACTGTTGGAGTAGAAGTGACAGTTGCATTTAGCCATTTCAACAGTAAACAGGTTGGATCTAGATGCCAATCTAGTGGCACACTTAAATTCATGAAGTCAGGTGACCAGGGATAAAAGCTCATCAGTGCAGTTGCCATGAAAATATTTGTAGAAAAGACAGAGTGAAGCCACATCATGTTGATGAGAAAGTGACTGAAGTCTAGATGCCAGGTCAGGATTGATTACATTGCAGATTCTTTTTTGGATTTTGTCAAGAACCTTGAGATAAATAACAGGAGCACCAGATCAAATATGGTTGCAGTATTCAGTGCACAGGCAAATGGTAGATTTGTAAATGTGCAAGATATTAAAGCCAGAAAACATTTTTAGATTCTAAGAAATTTTTTTGGAGATAACGATTTACTAATAAAATGTGCAGCAGAAACATCACCCACATTTTAAACCTGTGTGGTGCTTGGAAATTAACGCAGATGGCAATGATATATTCATCTAGCTAATGTCATAACATTTTTTCAGTTACCATCAAAGCTTGAACTGGTGCATACCATAGAGACATTTTTTTAAGACTGGTGAATCTTTAATTGCAACATATTCATTCTTATTTCATGTTACATTGGAATAATGCTGTTCCAGATACAAAATCAATACTGCTATGGGTTGAAAATTTCAGGGCTACAGCTTCAGCACTTACAATAAACCACTCAGAAGACCTTGAAATGCTCAAACTTCCAGGTGATGAAAAACTTTAGAAACTGTCTACAACAGTGTATGTTGAATAAAGGCCACCATTTAGAGGATGTTATTTTTTAAAACCAAATGACTAAAAACTGTAGCCATTTGTTTAAACAACAGTGAAATAATTTGATTTATAGCAGTTACCTCTGTTTATTTGTCAACCTTAAAAATATGGGAGATATTTCTGCCACAGAAGTACAAGTCCTACTAATTAACCCTTAGTTGGGAGAAAAAGAGATAGATTCATACCTTCCTCAAGGGTATTTGCATGTAAGTGAATATAACAAACCCAACTGGAATTGAAACTTTGCTCTCTGATTTCCACTTCCATGACATTATCCATTACACCACCTGCACATCCAAGCTTACAGCACCTTGTATTCCCAAGCAATCACTCATCTAGGTACCAATCATGTTCAATGTTGCTTAACTTTTGTGATCATACAAGAACTAATATTTCAGTACAGCATGGTCATAAGCCCAATTAGATTATAAATAAAATTGTAAACAAGTAAATTTTAAATGATGGTTTGAGAGCCGAGTTTGAATTCCAGTCGAATCCATTACATTCACTTATATGCTAATACCCTTGGGAAAGGTATTAATCCTCTTCTTCTCCCACCCAGCTATGGGTAAATAGCAGGACAGACCAGGTTCTATAGCCTTGGATGGCAACTGGTCTACTGCAAAAAGAAATGGCAACCTACTGTGGGAAAAAATCTGCCTCATCAGTCATGTATTGAAAGATACATGATCACCTAAGCATGTATCATGTATGACACATAACTGATGGTCATTAAAGATGATTAACTGTTTATTCGATAATTGAAATCATCTTTTCATAGTGTTACAGTCAAGGCAAGGGCCTACTATCCACAGAAGCAGGTTGTGTTACTGGTAGAGAGAGTAGGATGTAGAAGACCCAAAACTAGCAATGAAACCTGCAGACACCAATAATGACTTGTCTTGACACATGCTTATGATGTATTTTTCATTTCAGTTCTGTTCTTAATGTAATGATTTGAAATTACCTGATCTCTGATGAAACTAAGAAATTTGGGTGAGAAAATGTATTTATTTTAATTTGGAAATTTAGTGAGAGATTCATTATATTTTCTTGACCTTCTGTAGAACTATATTTCTACTGCATTTAATTTTTTTTTTTTTTTTTCATCTTTGGGGAAATTTTCCAAAATTCATTGCTATATAAGAGGATGGATACCACATAAGAATCCAGTACTCTTTTCTTTTTTTTTTTTTAATGAACATTTTCTATTTCTCAGCACCTTGCTTAGACTTTGGAATTGCTCTTTTGCTAGTCCAATATTTGTCCAATCTTGGTGTCACATTTTCCATCTTCTATTGAAATGCTTTCCAGATATTTGAACTTCTGCTCTTGCTTGATGTTTATATCACCAATTTGTAACACATCTTGAAAGTTTTCTCTTGCTGATAACCAGAATTTCTCTCTTCTTGCAGCTGATGTTTAATCATTTTTTCTCACTTTTTTCTACCACCCTGTTCTATCATTTTCTTTCCTGAATCAGCCATCAACAAAGTGTCATCTGCATATCTTATAGCGTTAAAATTACACCCACCAACAATAAATCCTGACAGAGCTTCCAATTCCCTTAGGATGGTGTCACTGTAAAGATTGAATAAATCTCGGAAGATGATGCATCCTTGTCTCACATCCCTTTATATTTTTGTATAGCTACTTAATTTATTTTCTATTCAAATGCAACCAGTTTTCTTCCAGCATAATTTCAGGATTATTCTAACATCTTTTCCAAATAGATCTAGATTTCCCCAGTAGTTCAAATAGATCCTTGTGCTGTACCTCGTCAAATAATTTTGCATAATCTATAAGACATTAGTGCACATCTTTCTGGATATGTATTGGTCTCTCTGATATCATTCTGATCATGAATATTACATTTCATGTTCTGATAACCTTGACAAAGCCAAACTTTTCTTGTCCTATTTCCAGCCTAATTCTGCTTAACACCCCTTTTCCTCGGGATTTGCATTATAATTGCAATGGTGGGATAAGTCATATTAATTCCCAATCTTCTGCAGGTGGAACCAGTGACTAATGAATGAAAAGTCAGCTGTTTCTGTACACAAAGAAGTTCCTTTTAATCTTGGCTTACAATCATATCACATTGAAACACCAGTTCTCTGTTCTTCATTAGATGAAAGTGAGAAATTTTTATGAGAAATGTGCATTTATTTTAATTTGGAAATTAAGTGATAGATTAAAACTTAAATAATTACAAAATAATTTCATCATATTTTCATCTTTGGATATGTTGATTTCTTACAACTGAATCTTCTTGCTATTTCTGTTTATACAGAAAAACACACGCATATATAAATGTACAAACTAATGTCCATATATAAGTAAAATTACATTTCCTTTAGTAAATTATCAGAAAAGGTTGTATTGATAGTAATAAGAAATAATGTTGAATAAAAATCCATTCAAAAATGACTATTGTTTATGTTTTGGGTATGAAAATGAAGCTAGTAGATATAGATTTATAAAAGCCCAATGTAAAATCTGATTCCTTAAATAGGTAATTCAAAAATGTGCTCTATCAATTTAGCCTCCGTGGCTGAATTGGTTTTGTTATAGAAACAGTTCCCCTGACAAAAAAAGCTTACGGCCATATCATATTGAAACAACTTTTTCCATACAATCACCGAAGTTAAGCAACATCAAGCCTAGTCTGTTCCTTGATGGGTTACTGCTTGGGAATACCAGGTGCTGTAAGCTTGGATGTGCAGGCGGTGTAACAGATAATGGCTCACAGTTGTTAACTGGAGAGCTGAGTTCCAATTCCAGTTTGGTTCATTATATTCACTTATCAACTAATTCCTTTGGGAAAGGTATAAATCCACCTCTTCTTCGCCAGCTATGGCTTGTAAAACTTGTATCACTAGATCATTATTATCTCAAAAAGAAATTCTTAAAATCTAAAAATAGTTCCCAGTTTAAATAACCAGCAATGGGTTGATAAGCCATAGAAAACAAATAAATCAATAAAAAATTCTTATAAAAAAGGGGATACAGGTTAAATTTCTGTCGGAGGCAGTCTTTCTTTAGTCTATCTTCTCAATTTAAGCCAGTTGTTTATTAGTTTCATGGATTCAGAAAATAAAAAAAAACATCGATATCAACTCAAATAAATGTACCTACTATACAATGTTTGTAGAAATAAGAAAGGATATGATATATAAATTAAAGTTGTAGAAATATGTTAAGATATTAAATCATATATGCATACATATATGCACAAAGAGCTGTGCATGGACGCACACACATATGTGTCCTTATTTTCTTTTTCCTATATTGTGAAGAAATTTCTATTCAAAAATCATTTTTTTTTTAATCTGTTGTCACTGAAAGAATTCCTGACCTTCACATACATTATAACAACAAAAAAAATACTAGTTAGAAGCAACTATCAAATCAGAAGGCTTATGAAAAAAATCGACTAGAATAAGGGTAGTCAAGAAAGCAGGATTGATTTAGAAAAAGAACGTCAATTAGTGGCATATGTAGGCGGATAATGATCAAAAGAAAAAGCTTTTCTCTGATCTGATTCTATCACAAGGACATTACAGAATGAAAAATTCCATCTTTATAACTGATCTTTTCTTGATTACTGTTGGAGAGTTCACTGAAAACTACTCTTATTGCTTTTGTGATGTCACTTTCTGTTTAACTGAAGCCCAAATTATCTAAATAGTTAACAGTTAAGTGACATCAATGGTGATTTAAGGAATCAAGTCAAGTAATCAGAAACTTTGATTACAGTATCAAAGACAAACATGACTTGGTTTGGTTTCTTTTGTTTTGTTTTATGGCATATCAACCTCAATGGCTTATTTAATGCTGACAAAATTTTTATTACTGGTAATATTTTTTCCCTTCAAAAATCTATTTCTTGTAATATTTTTTTCAAAAAATGTATAGCTAGTAATAATTTTTTTTTTAAATGTATTGCTGGTAATAATTTTTTTACAAAAAAGCATTTCTGGCATTAAAATCTATTTTTAGACTTTCACAGTGTTTTGACCCCAGTTTAGGAGTTAACTATTTGGAACTGGGACCCTAACATGTGCTACCACCCCGGGTTAGGGTGGGCCTGGGAATGCCAGCAATTAAGAGGTAGTTCCACACTCATCAAAACCTCCTCATCAGAGGCCTTGCTGTTAGAAGTATGGTTTGGTTTGTTTTACAGCATATCAACCATAATGCCGACAATATTTTTATTGCTGGTAATATTTTTTTCAAAAAATGTATTACTGTTAATAATTTAAAAAAAAATTATTTCTGGTATTAAAACCTATTTTTACACTTTCATAGTGTTTTGACCCAATTCTGGGGGTTAACTATTTGCCCATAGCTGGGACCCTAACAGGTGTTACCACTCCGGGTCAGGGTGAACCTGGGAACACCAGCAATTAAGAGATCAGAGGCCTTGCTGTTGGACATAGTTTATCGTCTTACCCAGGACACGGATGTAGTTTATCATCATACCCAGAATGGGAGACAACCATGTGTCTATATGTAAGCAAAGTGTTGTGTTTGGTAGTTTTTGAGTCTCACATCTTTGATAAAAGTCATGTCACTTTTTTCAAGTAATGTGATACATGAAAAAAAAAAAACTAACACAAAACCTGCCACCATGTGAAATTGCAATGAAAAAGACATTCACTGATGCATAAAGATGTGACACTAAAAAAACAAAACAAAAAACACTTTTATAAATGTAGGCACAAACTTATCAATGCAAAAATAAAACTATTTGATAATGGCTTATGAAGAATGATAGCATTTATTGAACAATTTATGTTGAACTTCTTGAGAACCAAAAAATGGTTTGAATTATAGAAAAACTAAATAAAAATACTCTTAAAGAACTTCTTTTGTTGTTGCTTATATATATGACTGACTCTCGTGTCGATCTTGAGGTATATGGATGCAACAACCCATATATATATATATATATATATATATATATACATACACATATATGAAAAGTTTGTATGTGTGTGTGTGTGTGTATATATATATATATATATATGCGTGTGTGTGTGCAATATACTATATATATTATTTATATATTATATGTGCAGTACTTATTGGAAAGTGCCCAATATCAGAGATAGACCTAACATATACATATATGCCAGACTCTCCCTGCCATATTTAACATATGATGATCAAGCAATTCAGGTCCTAGGAACTGACAGCCAGACATCTGCACATATGATTTGATTATAGTCGTGAAGGCTTTGTACAGAACTGACTAATACATTTGTTGCTTACATGTTTTCCGTAATTGTCAATGATGACCTGTCTAAGTTTAGGTTTATCATGTCATGAAAAAAAATAACCTTTACAAATGACTAAGTAAAGTAAGACTTATTCTTTAGAGGAAATCAAAAAATTTGAATATAGCATACTGTTTACATTGTTTTTCTCAATTTTGTCCCTTACTTTTGGACGATCCTATTTTGAAAATAAATAAATAATTGTTATAATTCTTTTTCTATCCTTTGCAAATGATTCAAATTTTAGTATGTTATTATGGATGATAACGACTACCAGTTGTCAAAATTTCAGCTTTTCACAGTTGTTATTTCTAACAAATATTAGGTTTTAAAATTTTGTCCCTTATTTTTGGACACTACTGTGTGTATATATATATATATATATATATATATATCTTTATGCTGTGTTCATTCAGCATGTTGACAATCATGTATCACCACAACTTTCTTAGTAAGTTCTGTCTTACATTTTGCTATCTCACTTACTCTGTTCTGTCATTAGTTAGTTTATGCATTGTTTACTTCTGTCCTTCTTGCCTTCAATCCACCCTGGATATATGAAATTTTTCAAGCCCTCTTTCCTCAGATTTCAAATATCTCTTTCTGATGTTAAGTATAAGTTTCCTTTTTACTTTCATCTTTTTACAAAATTTCATCATTGCTCATATATTCAGCTCATATTATTCTCAGTATCCTTCTGTAAAACCACATTTCTGTTGCTTCAAGTTTCTTCTTCATATAGGAGGACCAATATTACATAACAGTTCAGTAATGTTTTCTTTGTTTCTAATGAAATTTTTCTTGTTTCTTAATACTTTGCTTAGCTTTTGGAAAGCAACTTTCACTATCCCAATGCACCTTTGAATTTCAGTGTCGCACTTTCCATTCATTGTTAAAACACTTTCCAGATATTTAAATTATTGTACTTGTTTGATTTTGGTATCACCAATTTTTAAATTTGCATGTTGGGCTGTTCCTTTTGCTAACAACTATGCATTCTATCTTCTTGCAATTGAGGTTTAGCCATTTCTTCTTGCTTTCCATTACTAGCTTTTGTAGGAGTTCTTGTAGTTTCCTTTATGTAACTGCTATAAACACTGTGTCATCTGCATATCTGATATTGTTAAGATTGTGGCCGCCAATAATGAATGCTGGTGAGATTTCTAATCTTCTCAAAATCACCTCACTGTATAGGTTGAATAAGTCTAGTGAGGAGACATATTCATGTTTACACACATTTCTATTTTTATATATTTATAGAATTGGTTTTGTATAACTATGCAGGCAGTTTACTGCCAGTTTACGTTCTGGATTATTCTAATATCCTTCACCACTAAAACTCATTCAATAAAGCAATGCTCTGAAATTTACTGAAGATGAAACCTACCTCTTTCACCATCGAAATTTTCCCAATCGATTACTTCATCTTCAGAATCAAATTCCTGTGGATAATTATAATCATCAAGAAGACCTGTAAGAAAAATAAATCAAAGTCTTTCAGATTTAAAAAAAAAAATAAGCATCAAAAATAATTTAAACTCATGCAAATCTCTTTCCTATTTATATATAAAGAATATTTTCTTAATAGATATTCTTTTCTTGATATACCGGATATTCATTTCTTTATATATAAAGGATATTTTCTTAATACATAGTCTTTTTTTTACATGTAATGGATTTTTTAATAGATAATCTTTTCTTTATATGTAACAGATATTTTCTTAATATATATCCTTTTCTTTATATGTAACGGATATTTTAATAGATATTCTTTTCTTTATATGTAAAGGATATTTTCTTAATATATATCATTTTTTACATATGACAAATATTTTAATAGATATTCTTTTCTTTATAGGTAAAGGATATTTTAATAAATATTCTTTTCTTTATATGTAACAGATATTTTAATAGATATTCTTTATAATTAAAGGATATTCTAATAGATATTCTTTTCTTTATATGTAAAGAATATTTTCTTAATACATATTCTTTTCTTAATTGATCTTTCATTATCAAAATTGATTTCTTGATGATACTCTTGGGAATATGATACGACAAACTTTCATTAGCTTTTCTGAAAATATAATTAATGTAATTCATTTGTAATATTCGCTGTGTCCATAGAAAACCTGCTTAATAAGATATTTATTTCAGTCTCAAATATGAAAATGTTCCTTTAAAAATTATTAAGTTTGATGCAGATACAAATAAAGCTGGATTGAGGATAATCTCAGAGAATATTTTTTAATATTTGTTGTTTCCCACATGGAACTCAGCAAAAATATTATGTAGAGGAATTTTCTTTTTTAAGCAGTGGATAGCATGATCAAATTGTTTAAAGAAATTTTTACTTCATGAACAACAGAAAATATATACAGAACAAAATATATATATATATATATATATATATATATCACATTTCAATGTTTCACTAACCATGATTGATTTTTCTCAGGTGCCTGTGTTTTTAGTTAAATCTATAAACCATTAAAAGATTTCAGTTGTTAAATACTTTTAGTCCTGACTGAATTGTTGAAAATTCTGAATTTGTAATTTTATTACAATTAAACTGTTATATCTCAAAATCCACTGAAAATCAAATATTACAAGTTAATTTTATGTGAAAGTAAGTTGATTTCCCTTTCAAATAATGGGAAATTTAGTCTTATTGGTATTACTGGTGAATTTAACGTACTTGCTATTATTGGTTTATGAAAGATGACAGCACTCAAAAGTTCATTCAATAACTTATGTTCAACTTGTCACTGGAAACCAGAAAAATGGTCTGAATCATAGAAAAATTAAATAAAATATCTTAAACTTCAGCCAAACCTGCCCATATATATATATATATATATAAAAGAAACATATTGGATTTTAAAATTAAATACACATAAACTAGGGTTGAATAGGGACTTAGGTGTTTTAAATCTTTATAAATATTTCAATAGTTAAGCAATTTTTTTTAGATATATAAAATTTTTTTTTTTTTTTTTTTTTAAATATTTATGACAGTTAGATTTAAGTTAGGAATATCCGAACAGTGACGTTCCATATCACGTGACGTCCGCGTCTCACGAAGGACGCTACTTGCTAACAAACAGTAATTTTAATTTATTTGTAACAAACAGTTATTTCTGATGAAAAATTGAGGACAATTTGAAATATCAAATATATATATAAATAAATACTTTCATAAAATAAAACATTATAATTTTCAATTTGAAACTTTTTCTATATATACATATTAAGAAAGTATACGTGGCTTCTCATTATGCTATATATATATATATATATAATTATTTTTAATATTTTTTTCTTATTTGTTATATACCTATGAACACTAATGGGTATGTCGCAATACTCATAAACACATTGGACACTATTTTAAGCAGGAGTAATATGCTGTCTAAGTAGTCCACCACTAGCAGTGGTTTACCTACTTCATACCACTGGCAAGTATTGTATTTTGTTGATATTGTAAAGATTAGCATTTCATTCCCAACCTCCGTTTTGGTTATTCCTCATTAAGTAATCATTTTTAGGTTACAACATTAATATATAAACTATCTAAAAACGATTTATTGTTAATCTTAATATATTTTATTTGTAAGCATATTTTGGTAAATTTGAGTAGTAACAAATTTTTTAAATAATTAATAATCAATAATTTCATATTTTAAAACTTTTTTTGGCCTTCCTTTAGTATTGCTACATTTTTCTTTTAACTACAACTTGGGGTGATATGGTTAATATCTGGATTGAATTTGTGTAGCTTCTTTCCATTTAAGCATTTAACATCATCCACCCTCCCCTTACCACCCTGTAGACAGTTTGTGTCATCTGCTATGCTATGGGTTGGCTATATATCAGTTCTTTCAACTGGTGTTTTTTTTTAAATATTAAATTTTAAATCTCTAGTTCCAACATTGAATACAGTCCACCATTTGAGTTGAACAAGGCTAACTCATTGACATTAATTGAAATAGTCTATACTCGTGAGGTAATTTTGAATTTCTCTGTTATGTAATTTATATGCTCTGTTATAATAAATACATTGAGCTCTTTTTGTGAATCAGTTTTAATATTTTATATTATTAGGATCCACTTGGATTATATACCAATGGATTTATTACCTGTACAATATATATATATATATATATATATCCAAATGCAAAAGAACAAAAAGAATATAAATTCAAATGTTCATAACACTAATTTAAAAAAGAGCTCAATATAAGAAGTAAAGCAATAAATATTTATTATAAACTGTTACACTGGAACATGCAAAAATGCATCTCTGTTTTGAAACAAATATGCATTTTTGTTGCGGTAACTTGCATGTTCCAATGTAACAGTTTATAATATACATATATATAATTTATTTTTCTGAGTACTTTCAGATGTTGCTACATTCATTTTCAAGGATTGTTCTGTGTATATTTATGCAACTGTCTTTGTTTAATTCCTACATTCTCATGTTTGATAGAACCAATTTGAAGTCACTGAAGGTGATATTTAAATGATTAAACTGACATTTTTATGTGTATTTATTTATTTTTTTCTTAATCATTCTTCAATATACAGCCCCCTATGGAGAAAGATACTTTTTTTTAATGTTGACTGCTTCCCTTTTATTACAAAAGTCTCCAGAATTTTGAGTCTTTCTTTACATTGTGTCCGATATAAAACTTTGGTTTTATCTGCTGAAATTTGTCTAATGTTATAAACACTTTTATAAATATATACAGAACATGAAAAGAAATGTAGCAACATTTGAAAGTACTCAAAAAAATAATATAAAATAAAAATAAATATGAACTTTGGCAAATTTGCTGATAACATAAAACAACTAATTCAGAAATTTGAAAAATTTAATATATATACATATATATATGAGCAGGTGATGAGTAAATTTCTTATGTTTTATACTAACTAGGAGCTTTATTTACAATGATTTGTTTGTTTTTAGTAATAAATTTATCTTAGTCATGGCTCCTTATTTATCCCATGATACCTTTTTTCTTTTCGTTGTTTTGATTATTGTCGTTCCAATGGATCTTTCTGAAGAAGTGTTGAAGATGATGAACGTAAACATGGTTTTGGAAATCTACAATTTTATGAAAGTTGTAGATTTCTGGTGCTTCTATTTGTTCATTTCATGCTGCGTAATGAAATATGGTGCTACCCAATTGCAGGTGCACTTAAGATTTCCCAGACTGAAGGTGTATGAGACTTACCAGTGCATTTAGGGGCTTCCATCATTAAAGGGTTAAATAATAAACATAATTGTATATACAATTAGGTATTGTTTTCTGGTATTCATTTTCTTAAGCATATGAATATATAAATAAACTTTATCATAAGGTGACATTATATTGGTAGGATAAAGTGAAACTCTTTACTTGAATGAAACATCTGGTAATAAACTGTTTTTCAAATTTAAAACAACCTACCAATATACAACCATAATAGCCAACATCTCCCCACACCAACAACCCAACCTAAACAAAAAAAAGATTAATAAACAATCTTATTTCTTCACCATTGGTGGCTCTTCTCATTGTCACTGGTAATGTGGCTTCTCCTCCTCCAAATTCATTAAAACACCGGACACGGAAGACATAATTTCTATCAGGCATGAGGTCAGTGAGTTTATATTTTGTAGTGACTAAATTCTCTACAAGAGAATTCCAATCATAACATGGTGGCATCCTCATCTCAATGGAGTAGGTGATGGATTTTGTCATGGCCATTTTGGTTGTATGTGGCACTGCAGCCGGCTTCCATAGAAGCCAAGCCACATCTGAGCCATCATCAATAAGCTCTGGTGGTTCCAAAGGCATACGAGGAGGCACTGGAAAAGACAGAAAAATATTGAAGTAGAATGAAGCAATTTCTATTATTGTTTTTTATTTTACAAAAAACATTTCAAACATTAACAGCAAAAAAAGATTAGTTTAAACATTTAATTTTGTTAATACTTAAAAGAAGAGAGATTTCTTTTTTGCAAATTTGATAGATATCTGTGAGGTACCCCACTTGGTTTCACTAAATACCCACTGGGTGGTGCTGCTTAAGTCTATCAAAAGACAAACATTTCCTTGCTCTTGCTCCAAGATGTACCAGGTCATAGATGAGAATGTCCCCGCTGGAGGGTGTTCATTTTCCCAGTACACTGACAACTCGCACACAAACACCGATACAAACAAATACATTCTTTAGTAACTAGGCTTTAATGTCAAGTTCTTTTCCTTTTCAACTGTTTACACATTAATGTAATTTCTTTTTGTTAATACATGTTTGTTTAAATTCCATATTTTTGTAATATGTTTGTGCCTGGACACAAGTCCACCAAATATTGTTTGTGGGATAAATGCACCAGGAGCCATTAAATGTTTACTAAAAAATGTCCACATCTTGCAACAAAAGTTGTGATAGCCATAACATATCACAAGCAAAAACTGACAATTAATGAGAAATCAAACTTGGTTAGTTTTGGTTATTTATCTCTAATTTTATGAGGGCACTGTGCAAGAGAAAGTTCCTATGCTAATATGTCATTATGGTTTTAAAAAAATGTTTGACAAGATATAGCACAGAGTAATATAGTCAACAATGAGGATCTATATCATCAGTACCTATCTGATCAGAGAAACTCTATAAGATTACAAGCAAAGTTAATGTCTCCATAGAGAATTAATTGTCAGAATAAGCAAGGCTGTTTTCTATCACCTACTCTCTTTAATACTTTCTTTGAAAAAATCATGACTGACACATTGTGTTCTGATATGTCATTGTACTTGTCTAAAAAAATAAGTCGAATACAATTAACATTGAAATCTGCCAGGTGCCACGATGAATGGTGAAATAAATGACCTGCAGTGAATCTTTATTTCAATTCTGATTGGTTAGTAAGGGAATGGACTAAGGAAGATAATGAGGTTTGTATTTATTCAATATATAACACATTGGGAGACCACAAAACCACAGCTGTCATATACATTTTTTTCAAAGAAACTTTTCCGCTCTGGTCTTCTGAACAAGAGTAGATGTTTATCTCTTGTTTTTTGTTTTGGATTGGGTTTCGAGTTCCCTCTAAAATCTACTTCATCTTTGTACTTCTGATGTCTCTGTCTAAACACTGAAATTTTATTTATTATTTTTTTTCCTCAACAGGAGTAGATATGTTCACCCATTGTCTGGTTCACATTACTTTCCACTCTTTTGAACAGAAGTAGAGTTTTATCCCTTGTTTCCTGTTTAAGATTGGATTTCTAGTTCCTTTTCAAGTTTTATCATTCTCTTTTACAGCTAGTTTCACTCCCTTGTATTTTAGTGGCATTACCAATTTGTTTGAGTTGAATTGATTAAAAAAAATTTGATGACTTGGCAGGAAAAGAGGAAGCAATAGCTAGTTCAGTGAAACATCTAGACAAGATCCTAGTAACCTACAATATGGAAATCAGTTCATGTTGGATCAAAATGATGGATGGGATTTTTCAGCCATGTGCCTGTATCAAATTTTGCATCAAGATTCTTAAAAATGCTTTGCCAACCTTATGGTGAACAATCTTTAGATTCAACAAAGGTTTTTGAGGAGTGCATGCATTTTAAGGCAAATCAAGTTTTGTTTCAAGATGGTGTGTGCTAAGAGTGATCAGTCACCAGTATGGTATAAAATAAGGAAAAAATTTGTCAATTCATCCTTACATAGAGCCTACCAATAGATGCTATTCTAGGTATGTTCCAATACCATGATGTTAAATTAGAACTTAAAAGAATCCCTTATCGCTCATATGGAACATATGATAAACATTTCTGTCTTCCCTTAAATACTTCTTTCTTTCTTTTCTTCAGCCATTTTCTCACTGGAACCAAGTAGCATCTCTGAAATGTGTCTTGTTTTTCTATGCAATTGTGGTGAATAAAAAGAAAACAGCAACCAGCGAGTAAATTCAAGCTCTCCCAACTGGTATTCCAACCTCGAGTCGTTCCTTCTTGAGTTCTGTCTCAAAATCGCACTAACAGTCTTTTCTAGCTGCCAACCGTGAACGTCACTCGAAGCACCCCGCCCTGGGAAAAATTATTAGTTGCTTTTATATTTATCCATATGCCCATAATCCCTGGCGTCTTCATGCGATCCCATAATTCATTGTGTCCCTGTCCCATAATGCATTGCATCTTTATTGCATAAAAATGCAATGCAAGTCCCCCCTCATTCTTTTACGTTATCTGGCCGAGGACGGATTACGGCAGAGCGGTAAGTGCTTTTTTCTCCCTCATTTCAACTGCAGTAGCTTTACATGCTAAGCAAATACGGGCTCTTTTTTGGCGGGGACAAGGCAAGTCACAACCAGTTGTGCTCGTCCCAGGTTCTGTCTCATCACATCTGCCACACTCCCCCCTGATCTCCTGATCACACAGATGACAGTGCGAGTACGGTCTTTTGTTCCAGGTGCTCCTCCGAAGGGGGATTGGTTGAGCAGCTTCATCGGAGGAGCTCTCATTAGACACATCCCAATCTATTGGCAAACTACTGATATCAGAGTGATTGGTTGTTGAGTCCAACTCTACGTCTATTGGCTGTTCACTATCCTCCGTGTCTTCTTCTCAGTTGTGGGATTTGAGCCCAAAAAAGGGCGCAGGTCTCTAACATGACGAAGCGTTCCATCAACCCACACTGACTGCTGACTCACCACCTCAGTCACAGCAATCAAATTATTTATGAGATATTGGCAGGAGACATTAAAAACTTCTTTCTTTCTTTTATTTTCTCACTGAAAGTAATGTCATTTCTTCTTTTTCAACATGTTTAAAACAAAATAGTCCCTTATTTATAAGGTAATGACAGGGTGTAATGGTTGTGCAAACTAAGGAACTAACAAAAGCAGGGACAAGCACTATTATTATACAGATATTATTCTATTAATATTTATTTATATTATAATATTAATATTAATTGAATTTTCACTGTATAATATTAGTTAAATTTGATCTGAAGCTTTCATTGTATAATGTTAAATCTATGGAGGAGCATTAGGTCAAATGCAATGATAAGGAAAAATAAATAATTGTGCGAATTAAATACATTTTTTTTCTTTTATCATTAGGCTACAGACTTATTGACTATGTAAAAACTCAGTGTTAAATATATTCACATTTTTCATAGCGACTTCAAAATTTTCAAATTCAGTTCTCCTACAATCATTAAATAACTTGAATAATATTAAGTCTGCTACTATAATCAAATATATTTTTTAATAACTTTAGAGAAATCATGAATGTAATATGAGCCTGGCACATACCAAATGCAATTACTGCCCACATAATTGAAAAAAAAAATTAACAAAATCAACTTTGAATCCTTTTAACAGCCAGAAATCTAAGAGAAATACAAATGCCCAGGTGCTTTAATGGTCCATGTGTGTGGTTAATGTGTATTTCTCTACAATCTAGAAAACAGAACTCATTTAGAAATATCTAAACTGCCAGCTCTATAAAACCATTCTCAGATCTATGGTTCAAAATGGCTTTGAACAAATGTATACACACAGTGTTTCAACATTTTATGCAAAAAGGAAAAATTACAATAATCTTCCATTATTCACAAAATAAGATTCATACCAGCCTTGACAAGTGATGCATTAGCTAGTATATCAGTGTATCTTTGTATCAAGAGAAGACTTATTGCTTGTATCAATTATGACAATGAACTAAACTTCTGATAAATATAACTTTCTACTAAAACAAGTAATATCAGCACAAATGTAGGAAATCATTTGTTATTTTAATTGATTAACTACTTTGCTTGGGGTTAAATTGATTTCACCCCAAGCAAGGTAGTAAAGCCACTAAGACACAAGGGGTTACTGGGTGTGGAAGAATTAGGAACAGAAACATTAATAATAAGAAAAATGAGAAAAGAGTAATCATCAGGACAGTACATAGCAATTGACATTGCATTTAAATTTTTGCAGATTAAAGTTGGCTGAAAAGCATGGAGCCAGAAGGGAGTTCCACAAGTAAGAAGTGCAAGAAAAGAAACTTTTAGCATAGAACATCTAGCCAGCTCAACTGTAAATTGATGAGACCTCAATGCTAATCTAGTACTCTGCTTAAATTCAAAAAGTACCATAGTGAAGAGCTCATCTGAACAATTACCATGAAAGTATTTATAGAAAAAACACTGTGAGGCAACCTAATGGTGATGGAAAAGTGACTGAAGCCAAGCCTGCCAGATCAGGACTGATAATATTGCTGAATCTTCTTTTGATTTTATCAAGGAGCTCAAGGTAAATAGCAGCAATATTCTAAGCATAGGTGATCAGTAGATATGTATGATAAATTCTAGAGAGAAAAATTGTCTCGCATAACACAGTGAACCAACTTTCTTAGCAGCTGAACTAGCAATGGATTCACTACAGTCTTTCCACTTCATGTCAGTTGAGAATGTTAGCGTGAGAAGGCGCAATGAGTCACTTTCCTGGAGGTTAGCATCAGCCATGCTGATGGAATGCAGAGAAGGGGTCTCTTAGATGATTAATGGAGTGAAGTTTAGTTTTGGAGGCATTAAAATTAACATTATTAATAATTCCTTTTCATACAATGTATCAGCAAATCTAATTTTGTATAAAGTTAAACAAGGAAAGTATTTGAAAATATAATAAAAATAAAAAATAGATACTATTTAAACATCTTGATAAAAGAAATTAATTATAAATTAAATTCTGTATTTATCTTAACACCTGAATAATAATTTGATTTATAATTATAAATATTGCTGTCACTTATAGTCTGGTTCTACTGCTATATATTTATTATATTTGATAAAATCCAAAGAAGA